GTACCAATAAATGATGACTTACTATCGATATTGTTGCTCTACAGTTTACCTGCAAACTTCGATAGCTTTCGTGTCGCCTTTGAGTCACGTAACAACAAAAACGTGTTCACGTACTTAAAGTGCAACAAGACATGTCACACAGGTAGAGAGTAAACAACGATGACAAAAACAAAGGATGAGGCATAATCTCTGTATGCTGCTCCCTAATCAAGTTCGTGTCGTGATGCGAGTACCTTACTGGTTTATCCTACGCAAAAACAGTGCTGCCTAGATAGTGGTTGTACCGCACATATGACCAATGACATTGACAGTTTTGAGTGTATTGATGAGAACTTTTTACTCATTGAACCTGGCAAATTATAGCTCCACGAAAATCAGTGCAAAATGTGCCGCGCAACTGGTTACGTGAATTAATAAAGACAGAGAAGCAGTTGACTTGAGTGATGTGTTATATGTGCCGGACTTACGCACGAACTTATTGTCAGTCTCGAAAATCGTCGACAAGGGATATTACGTTATTTTTTCCGAAAACGTTCGGCAGAGTTCGTCATCAAAAAGGACACTCGTGTCGTGTTGCGTGCAGATCGGGTCGACGGATTATATTCCATGAATGACATCAGTCTTTCCCAAAGGCGTCCGAAAGGAAGTCAGCCGCAGACGAACTCATTCACATGGACGTGTGTGTGGACCAATGAGGGTTATGTCAAATGGTCGCGCCATGTACTTTGTCACCTTCATCGACGATGCTACTCGATGGTGCAAGGTGCGTTTCCTACGACACAAAAATTAGGTGTTCCCCGAGTTCAACGCATTCAAGACGATGATCGAGACAGTTCAACAAGAAGATAAAATTCCTGCAATCCGACAACGGGACGGAATACATGAACAACCACTTCGATGACTTCTTGAAGAGCTCTGGGATCAAACGTCGCCCGACTGTAACTAACAATCCGTAGCAAAACGGCGTAGCCGAGCGGAGAAACCATACTCTGGTCGAAATGGCTCGATGTCACCTAATACAGTCCGGTTTCCCACCTTAGTTTTGGGCGGAGGCGATATCTTCCGCGAACTTCACCAGAAACCGTTGTGCAACCTCTACATTGAACTGTCGAACCTCCTCCGAGATGTGGATGGGAGAGACACCGGATATGAGCGATTTTGAGGAATTTGGTTCACCAGTTTATTGCTTGAACCGAACCAAAAGTGCAGGCAAATTCGAGCCCTGTGCTCGTAAAGGAGTATTCCTTGGTCCTTCTTTGATGTCAAAGGCCTTCAGAATATGGGTGCTTGAGAAACAGCGTGTCGAGATTTCACGTACCATTCAGTTGCTGGAAGAATCTGCACCAACTGACGTCGACCAGTATGAGGATTTTTACCCGGAGCAGAGTGATGTTCATCCAAACGTCGAGCAGGATAGAGAGGAACCTGTACTGTACTGTACAATGATATCGTGTTGGGAGATGATTACACGACGAGCAACCCAGTTCACCAACTGGATGAACGCCAATCCGATGAGTATCAGGAATTGACATCCCTTGACGAGGGTGAAGAGCCATTTCGAGGCTTCGAACCAATTGCGACCCCGGTCTCAGATCCAACCGGATCCACCAGATGTTGCATGCGTCGCAGAAATCCCAATCAAGTGGGCAATATCTAGTCCTGAAGGGCACGAGTAGATGTTAGCGATGGCGGTCGAGTTCTGCTCGATACTGAAGAACAACACTTGGGACTTGGAGGAGCGTCCAAAGGAACGTTCAACCGTAGGGAGTCGGATTGTATTCAGAACTCATTGTACCAACGGAGCTGTCACCAAGCGGAAGGCCAGAGTAGTCGCTAAGAGATTTACTCAACGTCCTGGGATGGACTACGGCGAAACATGCACCCGTCGCTCGGTTCAACTCGATTCGCCTTGCCATGGCCTTGGTAGCGAAACGTAGTATGCACGTACGGCAGTTTGACGTCTCCACCGCCTTCTCAAATGGCGTCATCGACGAGGAAATATGGATGGAGGTGACACGTTATACTGAAGAAACCCTAAAGTTAAAACAGGCTGGACGATGCTGATATAAGTGCTTGGAAAAGGATCTAAAAAAGTTTGGCGCGAGGCCAACTTTCGGAGACGCAAGCATCTACGTGAAGAACGAGAGTGGAAACCAGCTCATCATTGTTGTCTATGTCGACGACATGTTTGTGATATCAGACGATGCTGAGATGATGGACAAGGTCTACAAGTTTCTGGGCAAGTCGTTCCAGATCAACGATTTGGGCGACGTTTTTTACTGCATGGGAATCGAGTCACTTGGGACAAATCGACGATCACCATGAGTCAGCGCGGGTACGTGCTAGACATACTTGATCAGTTAGGATGTCCGATTGTCGGCCAGTCTCTACACCGCTCAAACCAGGAGCAAAGCTGTCAAGGGACGACGTTTGTGGTAAAGAAGACGGAGAGACACCACCGTATCGAGAATTCATCGGAGCCTTGCTGTATTTGTTCGTCGCAATACGTTCTGACATTACACACGCTAATTGTCCTGAACCAGATCAACGACTATTTTGGAAAGAGTTAATGGCAAGCTGTAAAACGAGTGTTACGGTACCTCAAGGGTACAACCGACATGGGTATCACCTTCAGTGCAAAAGGTAAGAACCTGACCGGCTTCGTGAATGCTGACTGGGCTGCGTGCATCGACGACAGGAGGTCCTACACTGGATACGCTTTCACGATGAGTGGAGGTCCCATCTCATTGGAGTCGAGGAAGCAGCGCACGGTGGCCTTGTCTTCAACGGAGTCTGAGTACATGGCACTCAGCGAGGCTTCCAAAGAAGCGATGCACCTTAAAAGATTCAGCGAGGAGATTGACGCTTGTCAATCGCCAACAATTGATATTCACATGATAACCAAGGAGCGAAAAAACTAGCAGGGATTCATGTACATCATTCAAGAACCAAACCTATTCACATTCGACACCACTTCATGAGAGAAGCCATAGTTACGTGCGAGATCAACCTGGATTACCTAGCCTCTGACAAGATGCCGGCAGACGTACTCACCAAGGGACTATCTAGTGTCAAGCACTGGAATTGTTTAAATTACATGGGCATTGAGAAACTAATTACTTAAATTAGTATCGCTTTGAGAGGGGTATTAGAACAGTATTTAAGTAATTTATCTCTACTGTGGTGTTCTGATAGGGTAGGACGCACAATAATACAGTTGAGTAATTAACACACTAATTATTTATTGATTAAGTCAGCGCGATACAATGAACGATTGGTAAGCAAGTCAAGTCAGTTATGAAGTGCCACAGCTATGGCGAATCAGTCCGGTCGATTCTCCACCGTCTTATGATTTCGTCTAGCCGCTCGATTGGCCAGTTTGACTTTGGCCTGGAGTTTCCTCTATTGGCCACTTGGCGCGTGCTTGTGCGACCGGAGTAGCCACACTACTACAATTGTAGCGCCATCTATATTTGTTTCGCTAATGTTGTTGCTACTAGTAAAGTTAGTTCAGTTCTTTGTATTGCCTATTCGAGTCAAGTTGTTCTTTTGTATTGCAATCGATATATCTTGCTAAACCGTATCCTCGAGTTTCTTTGACTACGACCTCCTACCTTCTTAACAGAGTCCGACGTGGAGCACCTCGTAAGATTAGTATACCCCTCTGTCTCTTCGGAGTTCATACGCCAATTGGCTGTGTAAGAATTCACCGTTAGAGTAAGGAACGATGAAGCGAGTCACTACTACGTCACACGCTGGAACTGACCATTCCAATTTTTTTTTTCGTGGAAAAGGAGAAATCTTCAAAAGACATCCAGCCGTTCGTACGGATAGATAATGTTGGGTTCACTCCATACCTAGCGGCATGGCCTAGATGTTTAGACCATTGCTTAGCATTCGGGAGGACGCCGGTTCGATTCCGGGTCCGTCTGCCTTGGTCCAAATTTTTCTGTGGTTTCTTTGGATCACCTAGGCAAATGCTGAGGCAGTAATATTCCACAGATAATCTTTCATTCTCTTCTGTCTTCATTTCGTCCGTCTTATCGTTCTCACCCAAACTACCACCCACCCATTCCCACGATTCCTGAAAGCAGGCTGAAGAGGGCCTTCCGCCCTACCTTCCGGCGTAGTCCGGAGGGACTGCCCGCCCACCAGCATTACTGGCTGGTGGGAATGAAACACCCACAAGTTTTTTTTTTCATTCCAAGGAGCACCTTACTAAATCCCCTCTACCTCAGGCCATTTTAGGACCTACCGATTCAGGTCCTCTTCAGCCGTTTGTTGTTTTATGTCTTTTTGGTTCTTTTGGGGTTTTAGTTGAGACTTCTGACCTCGCGGCAACGATATACAGGGACTGGCCCTGTTGTAGAAAGATTCCATAATCTGGGATCTAGAAAATTTTTGTTACTACAGACCTCATGATGAATGATGGGTAACCCTCACGTGACAATAAAGAAAGTTAAATTTTTAACCATTCATCTATGTCAATTATTTGTGAATGTTTGATACATTAATAGTTTTGTTTGTAATTATTTAGTTAATTGGTAATTAATTCATTAATTAAGAGCTTAGGATTAGCCAATAATTTCTAAAATTGTAAAATAGTGAAAAATAAATTTCATTTATCAGTGCCCTCTAGTGCTATTATAAGTAATCTTACAGTTAAACTAAAAAAGTAAAACAGCAATTGTAATGTTCCTAAAAACATTAGTTGTGTCCACGCTAGAGGACACCACAAAATTACTTGAGGTCACGCTAGAGAGCATTACAAAATTAAAGGTTTTTCTTGGAAAATTAAACATGCACATTTTCCATTGCATATTTAGTAGTTGCGAACGATTTTCAATTGACTGAATACCCGTCTATTTTAAAATTAATAATCACAAACTTTGACAAACAACTGCAATATGTGAATGATTACTTGATCTTACATTATTCTGTTTTATTTCTCTACCTCTTTTTCCATCCAAACTTATAATGCCCATAATAAAAAGAAAAACTACTTCTGATAATTTATTAGATATGGAATAGTACAAACAATGCACAGAAATAAGCCGGAAAGAACGGATTAAAGGTCTTTAAAATCTATAATTATAAGGCACTTTTTATTAATTCAATGAATGAAGCTTTCTTAAATTCGTTGTAAAAAACTTCTGTCCTTTCCTGCTGTTCCTTGCATATTTGTTTTAGAAACAATACAAAAAATACAAATTATTCTTATTTAACTTAAAAGGAAATTAAATGAAAAAGCCACATCATAGGTATTTAAAGAACAAATTATTACAGTCTTCACTATTCTTAACGTTAACGATAATAAATGCTTTCAGGAACGCTAGGAAATAAAAATATCGAAATTTGCAGATTACAACGAGTAATGCGAAAAACAACCAAAAAGAATATTTCAGAACGAAAAACCACCATTTGGAAGATTGGAATTGATCTGTGGATTGAATTGGAGTTGACCATCAGCAGTTTGCGGGGCTGGAACGCTCTCATCAGGAGCGTTCTAAAAAATATATTAATTAAAATAATAAACACTTATTATTTATTAATATTCCATTAAAACTAATGCATGCACCAAAATAGACATATTAAAGAAAAGAAAAACTAAACTGCAAAGTCAAAGTCGTTCGTTATTATTTGGTTTAAGTTTAAATCAAATTAACAGTTTACTAATAAGAGAGAATTTACGGTTTTATTTTATTAAAACCGCTAACAAAAATTAAACAATGAATAACAGGTACTGAAAACACAATCGCTTGGCGCGTTAGTGTTATGCTTCACTTAAATAAAGTGAAAAACATTTTCATAGCTTACTAGTGACTGTGGAAAAAGTAAATTTACCTCTGAGAAGTAATTTTCAATGAGACTTAAAGCCTTTTCGTAAACATTTTCATTATCATGAGCTTGCAATGCTTCTAAAGAATCCAAACCTCCACACTCTTCAATCATAATGGCGACCTTCTCTACCTCTCCTAGACGGTTTGCAGCCTTTAATTTTAAAAGAAAAGTATAAAATATACGAGACTATGAATTCTTAAATTAATATTAAAACAACTTACGTTCAATATATTAGCAAGCCCATCTAATACAACGCTAACAGTTTTCCAATCTTTTGCATTCAGAAGATTACACAAAGGCTTGAGTGTACCCATTTCAACTAGTTTTGCCAACTGTTCTATTGTACCACCACTTGTGTAATTTGTTACTGCCCAGGCTGCTTCTTTTTGAGACTTGAAGTCGCCCTTTAATAAACCACCAATTTTATAAGGTAAAGATTTCCTTTTTCAAACTAAAAGAAACCCATTTACTTACAGTTTGCAAAACCTCGAGCAAAGGTTTCATGACACCTGCATCAAGAACTCTTTGGATTTGTTCTGAATTGCCAGCTGTTATGTTAGACACCGTCCAAGCAGCTTCTTTTACAATATTAAGGCGTTGGTGACTTAAAAGGCGACCCAATACTTCCAAAGCACCTGCATTAATAACCATATCGGTCTAAAACAAAGGGAAAGCTATGTATTTCCATAGAAAATTGAAGTTATCAAAATACGAAATTTGAGAGAATTTCTTATTCCCATCAACTACTAACTAATACTACTGAGCTACTATAACCTACAGCAAAGTGAGATCATGGAAATGGTTAGTGATTGGTTAGGGAGACAGATGTGATAATCGAAGTGAAGACAAAATTGAAAGATTAATTATGGAATATTACTACCTTAGCATTTGCAAAAATGATCTATATTCTAGGTCACTAGCCCATGAGAAAGTAAATTACTTGAAAATAATAATGAGGTGCATATTTTGATACTGAATAATTCCATCTAAAATTAAACTACAATTTCTTTTTCCTAAAACTTTATGCCATGCCCTTTTAAAGAATCACAATAAACTATTGGTTTTCTATATGTACATTGAAACATCCCTTTAATTTTCAATGGGAAATTATCTTTTAACATTTATCTCAGTTTATAGGCGAATGATGAGGATAACGTGGGTAGAAAAGGTTAGAAATGAAGAGGTATTAGAAAGAATAGGAGAACAGAGGAACTATGGAAGTCAATAAAAAATAGGCGAGATAGGTTGGTAGGACACCTTCAGAGGCATGAAGGTCTAGTCAGTGACATATTAGAGGCAGGAGGGGTAGAGGTAGACCTAGGCTAGATTACTGTTTGCAAATAGTGAAGGATAAGGGTTGTTCTAGTTTTAGGGAAATGCGAAGTTTAGCTCAGGATAGGAAAGAGTGGAGGTACGTGTCCAACCAGNGGCGACCTTCTCTACCTCTCCTAGACGGTTTGCAGCCTTTAATTTTAAAAGAAAAGTATAAAATATACGGGGCTATGAATTCTTAAATTAATATTAAAACAACTTACGTTCAATATATTAGCAAGCCCATCTAATACAACGCTAACAGTTTTCCAATCTTTTGCATTCAGAAGATTACACAAAGGCTTGAGTGTACCCATTTCAACTAGTTTTGCCAACTGTTCTATTGTACCACCACTTGTGTAATTTGTTACTGCCCAGGCTGCTTCTTTTTGAGACTTGAAGTCGCCCTTTAATAAACCACCAATTTTATAAGGTAAAGATTTCCTTTTTCAAACTAAAAGAAACCCATTTACTTACAGTTTGCAAAACCTCGAGCAAAGGTTTCATGACACCTGCATCAAGAACTCTTTGGGTCTGTTCTGAATTGCCAGCTGTTATGTTAGACACCGTCCAAGCAGCTTCTTTTACAATATTAAGGCGTTGGTGACTTAAAAGGCGACCCAATACTTCCAAAGCACCTGCATTAATGACCATATCGGTCTAAAACAAAGGGAAAGCTATGTATTTCCATAGAAAATTGAAGTTATCAAAATACGAAATTAGAGAGTATTTCTTATTCCCATCAACTACTAACTAATACTACTGAGCTACTATAACCTACTGCAAAGTGAGATCATGGAAATGGTTAGTGATTGGTTAGGGAGACAGATGTGATAATCGAAGTGAAGACAAAATTGAAAGATTAATTATGGAATATTACTACCTTAGCATTTGCAAAAATGATCTATATTCTAGGTCACTAGCCCATGAGAAAGTAAATTACTTGAAAATAATAATGAGGTGCATATTTTGATACTGAATAATTCCATCTAAAATTAAACTACAATTTCTTTTTCCTAAAACTTTATGCCATGCACTTTTAAAAAATTACAATAAACCATTGGTTTTCTATATGTACATTGAAACGTCCCTTTAATTTTCAATGGGAAATTATCTTTTAACATTTATCTCAGTTTATAGGCGAATGATGAGGATAGCCTAGGTAGAAAAGGTTAGAAATGAAGAGGTATTAGAAAGAATAGGAGAACAGAGGAACTATGGAAGTCAATAAAAAATAGGCGAGATAGGTTGGTAGGACACCTTCAGAGGCATGAAGGTCTAGTCAGTGACATATTAGAGGCAGAAGGGGTAGAGGTAGACCTAGGCTAGATTACTGTTTGCAAATAGTGAAGGATAAGGGTTGTTCTAGTTTTAGGGAAATGCGAAGTTTAGCTCAGGATAGGAAAGAGTGGAGGTACGTGTCCAATCTGTCTTAGAAATGACGACCTTATGATGAAGATGATGATTTATCTCAGTTATTACACCCCATTGTGAAGTGATCCCGTTTAAACCAATTCTAATTTTTTATTTACCTGACTGTCGTTTCCTGTTACAATGTTGCCAACAGCCCTAAGTGCAGGCGTGAGTACAGTAAATTCTTCACTGTATAAGAGCTGCACCAATCTGCTGATTAAACCGGTATCCAAAACAGCTTGTATCTTTTCATTAGTCCCGTCTGTAAGATAACTAAGAGCCCAACATGTATCTGCCAGCACTTCTTTGTCATTAAAATGCAACAGTTTGGCCAATGTTGGCAATGCAGGCCTGACTGTGTCAAAATCTGGTGGAGGGTTTTTATTTCTGCAAAGATTGGAAATCGCCCAAACAGTATTACGTAACAAAGAAACTGAAGAATCTGGTTTGATAAGTCTTAACAAGTCTGTTAAAACACCACACTGTAAAACCAGATCTCTTGTTTTGGGTCCATCACCTGCAATATTACCAATAGCCCAGACAGCTTGCTCAGCTACATCAATGCGTGGAGAAGATAGCAGGGCTTGTAATTTTGGAATTGCTCCTTCTGCTACAACTGCTTGAGTTTGTTCTGAAGTTCCTGAGGCAATGTTCGTAAGGGCCCAACAGGCTTCAAATTGTAATGATGGACTAAAAAACGAAATTAATAAAAGAATTTCTATAACATATGTAATTTTACTTGTTAAAATGTGTTAAAAATTCAACACATCGAGGAACAACTCCACATCTAATCATATGATCAATCGGAGGATTACGTTCTCTGCTTAAAATCTTTCTGCAAGCCCTTGTTGCTCTTAGCTGTTCTTCTTCATCACTGCTCATAATACCTTTCAAANAATCATATGATCAATCGGAGGATTACGTTCTCTGCTTAAAATCTTTCTGCAAGCCCTTGTTGCTCTTAGCTGTTCTTCTTCATCACTGCTCATAATACCTTTCAAAATATACTTATAGTATGCAGTTTAGTATAAAGCAAAAGACAAAATTTTACCTGATAAAATTTCCTCAGAACTCATAGATACAGGAGATGGTAGATTATTATCCTGTAATGGTGAAGTGGGTTCTTCAGCCACTGATATGTTACGCCTCTTGAGAAGTTGATCATCCTTTCTTGCTTTTCGTAACTCAACCGTTTCCCCTATACGTCTTCTTCTCATTTCCTGAAACGCGGCAGTGCCATGTTAAAAATGAAATAGAAAAATTAGCTCATTAAACTTACATCTGTGTTCTTGCCTTTATTTTTAAAAGATCTAATACGATTTTCATCGCCCATTTTGATTGTAATAAAAATCAACAAAAATGGAAACGAATTACTTTGTGCTAAAAAAGATCTTATAGGTTAGATTTTAAAATATATTTAATAAGTAGAATGTTTCAAACCTTATTGCTTAAAAAAACAGAAAAAGACACAATACACTTTTACACAAATTAACACCACGTTCACGGCGACAAACCCTAAGCAAAAGAAAAAGAACCAAAGACTTGAGAAACTCAAAGACCACAGCAGAAAGATTGGAATGGCTCGTACTGACAGTTATAAAACCGTTATATTAGCGACTATTATATTTAACCATTTAACCAATAAAATTTGAAAAGCAAATCTTCATAAGTTTTGATTGGTTGAATCGTTTAAAAATTCAAAAACAAATATTTCATTTAAGGAAATATCAAAGTGTTAGGAAGTGAATATCGTGAAATTCTCAGGAAATAAGGATGAAAATGTGAATAAATTAATTTTAGATAATAAAGAAATAATTTTCTTCGATATTACTAATGATTACTGTAATCTTTTACAATATTAAGGCGTTGGTGACTTAAAAGGCGACCCAATACTTCCAAAGCACCTGCATTAATAACCATATCGGTCTAAAACAAAGGGAAAGCTATGTATTTCCATAGAAAATTGAAGTTATCAAAATACGAAATTTGAGAGAATTTTTGTTATTCCCACCAACTACTAACTAATACTACTGAGCTACTATAACCTACTGCAAAGTGAGATCATGGAAATGGTTAGTGGTTGGTTGGGGAGACAGTTGTGATAATCGAAGTGAAGACAAAATTGAAAGATTAATTATGGAATATTACTACCTTAGCATTTGCAAAAATGATCTATATTCTAGGTCACTAGCCCATGAGAAAGTAAATTACTTGAAAATAATAATGAGGTGCATATTTTGATACTGAATAATTCCATCTAAAATTAAACTACAATTTCTTTTTCCTAAAACTTTATGCCATGCACTTTTAAAAAATTACAATAAACCATTGGTTTTCTATATGTACATTGAAACGTCCCTTTAATTTTCAATGGGAAATTATCTTTTAACATTTATCTCAGTTTATAGGCGAATGATGAGGATAGCCTAGGTAGAAAAGGTTAGAAATGAAGAGGTATTAGAAAGAATAGGAGAACAGAGGAACTATGGAAGTCAATAAAAAATAGGCGAGATAGGTTGGTAGGACACCTTCAGAGGCATGAAGGTCTAGTCAGTGACATATTAGAGGCAGGAGGGGTAGAGGTAGACCTAGGCTAGATTACTGTTCGCAAATAGTTAAGGATAAGGGTTGTTCTAGTTTTAGGGAAATGCGAAGTTTAGCTCAGGATAGGAAAGAGTGGAGGTACATGTCCAATCTGTCTTAGGACTGACGACCTTATGATGATGATGATGATGATGATGATTTATCTCAGTTATTACACCCCATTGTGAAGTGATCCCGTTTAAACCAATTCTAATTTTTTATTTACCTGACTGTCGTTTCCTGTTACAATGTTGCCAACAGCCCTAAGTGCAGGCGTGAGTACAGTAAATTCTTCACTGTATAAGAGCTGCACCAATCTGCTGATTAAACCGGTATCCAAAACAGCTTGTATCTTTTCATTAGTCCCGTCTGTAAGATAACTAAGAGCCCAACATGTATCTGCCAGCACTTCTTTGTCATTAAAATGCAACAATTTGGCCAATGTTGGCAATGCAGGCCTGACTGTGTCAAAATCTGGTGGAGGGTTTTTATTTCTGCAAAGATTGGAAATCGCCCAAACAGTATTACGTAACAAAGAAACTGAAGAATCTGGTTTGATAAGTCTTAACAAGTCTGTTAAAACACCACACTGTAAAACCAGATCTCTTGTTTTGGGTCCATCACCTGCAATATTACCAATAGCCCAGACAGCTTGCTCAGCTACATCAATGCGTGGAGAAGATAGCAGGGCTTGTAATTTTGGAATTGCTCCTTCTGCTACAACTGCTTGAGTTTGTTCTGAAGTTCCTGAGGCAATGTTCGTAAGGGCCCAACAGGCTTCAAATTGTAATGATGGACTAAAAAACGAAATTAATAAAAGAATTTCTATAAAATATGTAAATTTTACTTATTAAAATGTGTTAAAAATTCAACACATCGAGGAACAACTCCACATCTAATCATATGATCAATCGGAGGATTACGTTCTCTGCTTAAAATCTTCCTGCAAGCCCTTGTTGCTCTTAGCTGTTCTTCTTCATCACTGCTCATAATACCTTTCAAAATATACTTATAGTATGCAGTTTAGTATAAAGCAAAAGACAAAATTTTACCTGATAAAATTTCCTCAGAACTCATAGATACAGGGGATGGAAGATTATTATCCTGTAATGGTGAAGTGGGTTCTTCAGCCACTGATATGTTACGCCTCTTGAGAAGTTGATCATCCTTTCTTGCTTTTCGTAACTCAACCGTTTCCCCTATACGTCTTCTTCTCATTTCCTGAAACGCGGCAGTGCCATGTTAAAAATGAAATAGAAAAATTAGCTCATTAAACTTACATCTGTGTTCTTGCCTTTATTTTTAAAAGATCTAATACGATTTTCATCGCCCATTTTGATTGTAATAAAAATCAACAAAAATGGAAACGAATTACTTTGTGCTAAAAAAGATCTTATAGGTTAGATTTTAAAATATATTTAATAAGTAGAATGTTTCAAACCTTATTGCTTAAAAAAAAAACAGAAAAAGACACAATACACTTTTACACAAATTAAAACCACGTTCACGGCGACAAACCCTAAGCAAAAGAAAAAGAACCAAAGACTTGAGAAACTCAAAGACCACAGCAAAAAGATTGGAATGGCTCGTACTGACAGTTATAAAACCGTTATATTAGCGACTATTATATTTAACCATTTAACCAATAAAATTTGAAAAGCAAATCTTCATAAGTTTTGATTGGTTGAATCGTTTAAAAATTCAAAAACAAATATTTCATTTAAGGAAATATCAAAGTGTTAGGAAGTGAATATCGTGAAATTCTCAGGAAATAAGGATGAAAATGTGAATAAATTAATTTTAGATAATAAAGAAATAATTTTCTTCGATATTACTAATGATTACTGTAAAAAAAAAGGAAAAACTCTTTAAATGTAGACCATTGAAAATACAGCACTGTTATATTGGTTGTCTGACCCTTTCATCAGTACATAACCAAATTAATTTTATCTCTAAGAATTTAATGAAAACTAGACTAGCAAGGTGTGCATACCTTAAACATTTAATTTATTCTTACACTAAAGTTAATAGGTATTTCCCCATCAAATACGTTCATCATCAACAATTGCGCCCACTGTAAATAAAATTCTTCAAATAACTCTTGCAATTTATTTAGTTAGTTCTAATACGTATTTAGCGTGATTCCAGAGTATTTTCTTCATTTAATGATTTATTTACATATTTATATATTTATTGATTTAGAAGTAGCTCACGGCTAACATACATACAAAAAATACAAAATCCAAAAATAATGCAGGAAAAGAGAAGAAAAGGTAAAGAATTAAAAATAACAATTTCGTGCGGTATTTTGGTAAAACCAAGAAAATCATTATATTTTTTTCACACTGGTCAAATCATGTCAAGAAGGAAAAGCTCCTCAATAACCCCCACTCTCCTCCTTCCCCTTCCACACTAAAACTAATCTCTTAAGATGCTCTTAAAGTCAGTCATGTCAAATTTAAAGAAGCGGAGTGATGACCTAATCACTTTGCAGAAAATTTCAATGAGATTGGGAAAGAGAATATTGATTGTTTTAAAATCTTTAAATCATAACTGAATGGGGGTATGGGCCAAAAAATTATTAATTTAGCACTACGTAATTTATGGACACTGTTTACTAAATTTCATTAATCTATGTAAGTACTGAGTGGTGCACAATATTTTTAGTAAACACAAATAGATTTGATGGTTTCCCCACACCTGAGCAGGTGATATATAGTTGTTCATGGGAAAATCATAGTTTTGGAGCTGACGCGCAAAAAAATCATGTTGTCCAAACCTTCTGCTGCATGGTACATTAACTTTTTAAGTAATTTGGAGTATATGATATATAGGCGAAATCTGGACCCATTCCGTGATAAGGGGCAAGGAGGGAAAAATCGAAAACAATGTAGGATGAACCGTTTGATTTTGACGGTACAATTTACTTAAAATACTCCATATTCCGGGAAAAATAATGACAGAAATTTTGGCCGGGCCATATTCCATTCCGGTTGGGATCCACATTTTTTCCACACACGAGAAAATAACCTAAGAATTATTTCTGCCATTGTTTTCCTCGGAATGTGAAGTATTTTATATAAATTATACCGTCAAAACTAAGCGGCTAGTCCAACATTTTTTTCGCTCTCCCTCATCTCAGAATGGCCCAGATCCCTCCTATATATTATATAAAAGTGCTCTAAATTACTGTTAATATTATTAGTATTATAAGCAGATACACTATACGACAGAAGACTCAGAATGTGACGTTTAGAAAATCTTGTCTTCTTTGTCACTATGCATGTTGGATTGCCTATATGCGACTCTGTATATTGGGTTGCCTACATGTCACAACACTTATGTAACTTACAAATAAATACAAACTACTGTCCTATATAATAAATATTAAGGTCAAAAGTTATCCTATCTTTTAAGTTGACCAATTTTCATAAAAACTGATTAAGCAGTTTCGGAGTTCATCCCGGACAAAAATTGTGACACTAGATTTTTATATATACAGATAGATATAGTTACTTAATGTGTAAAAATGAAAATTCGCCATGTAAAAGGCTCCTTTATTCACCATTCAACTGTAGTTGTGTAGTTGCTAAAACGATGTAACGAATTACTGGTCTGTGTAATGTGTAATGCATTGTGAAAATGTTACCAAAACGTTAATGAAAATTATCTAATGAAATTTAACTATTTATTATTATAGGAATAAANTGTCCTATATAATAAATATTAAGGTCAAAAGTTATCCTATCTTTTAAGTTGACCAATTTTCATAAAAACTGATTAAGCAGTTTCGGAGTTCATCCCGGACAAAAATTGTGACACTAGATTTTTATATATACAGATAGATATAGTTACTTAATGTGTAAAAATGAAAATTCGCCATGTAAAAGGCTCCTTTATTCACCATTCAACTGTAGTTGTGTAGTTGCTAAAACGATGTAACGAATTACTGGTCTGTGTAATGTGTAATGCATTGTGAAAATGTTACCAAAACGTTAATGAAAATTATCTAATGAAATTTA